ATATATATATATATATATATATATATGTATATGTATGTTAACATTAATATAGAACGAAATAAATTATAATGTTTTTTTTTTTTGAGCAACTGGGATGGTGCCCCTCCTGGGAGTTGGTGTCCTACGCAAACTGCGTACTCTGCATATAGGGAGCCGCGGTATTGGTCTACTACACCAAAGCAACATTAAATGCGTATTAAGGCAGTCAGCCTATGAACAATTAGTTACCTTGTATTCTTTATCACATCTTCAATTACTAAATATTCAGAATATGCAAAAGATATATCAGCCTACAGGAAATGAGAGGCAGGCAAACTCACATCCACCATGGGGATTTCCTCAGGGACGGGGCCGGGATGGTTGGGTCCGTTGGCCAGCATGTGGTTCGGATGCTCCGCACACATGTTCTGGTGCAGGTGGTTATGCATCTTCTTCCTTCGTTTCCTGAAGAAAGATCCATTCTGAAATCTGATCTGATTTATACCATGACAGCAAATACTCTTATTATTTAAAACAGGAAATCACTATAGTGAAACATACAGAAGTTACTTTGATTTGGTATAGATTTTGGTATAGATATGGTATATATTCTTTGATAAATGGAAAAGTTCAAAAGAACAGCTTTTACAGTGGGTATAGAAAAGAATCAACTCCCTTTAAAATAATTACATTTTGTTGCTTTGCAGCCTGAAATGAAGGCGGACAGTTTTTGTTTTATCCAGCTTTATTTAATCAGTGCAACTTATAACATCCAAGTGAAAGATATAACACCAACATGTCAGAAAATAAATAAATAAACAATCACTGAGTTGGAAAAAGGACCACCCCTTGTGTCAGTATTTTGTTGAACCACCTTTTGCTTTAATTACAGCCTTTAGTCTCTTGGGATATGTCTCTGTCTCTACTAACTTTGCACATCTAGACTTTACAATATTTGCCCACTCTTCTTTGCAGAACTGCTCAAGTTCAGTTAAATTTGATGGTGAGCGTTTGTGGACTGCAGTCTTCAAGTCATTCCACAGATTTTCAGTGCGGTTTAAGTCCGGGCTCTGACTAGGCCATGCAAGGACTTTCACCTTTTTCTCTTTCAACCACTGTGTGCTCAATTTTTTGCAGTCCTTCTTCCCATTGACAACTTTCTGGCAGAGGGCAGTAGATTTTCCTCAAGAATTTGACGATATTTTGCCCCGTCCATTTTTCCTTCTATCCTGAAGTGCTCCAGTCCCTGCTGCAGAGAAACAGCCCCATAACAGGACATTACCTCCTCCATGCTTTACTGTAGGAATGCTGTTATTTGGATGCTGAGCTGTATTGGATTTCCGCCAGAAATATCGTTTGGTATAGAGGCCAAATAATTCAATTTTAGTCTCATCTGCCTCAGAATCTTCAAGGTGTGTTTTGGCAAAGCTCAGTCGTGACTGCATGTGGCCTTTCTTGAGGAGTGGCTTTTTTTGCAACCCTCCCATACAAGCCACATTTGTGATATTGCTGTCACATGCACACAATGACCATTCTTCGTCCTAAATTCCTGCAACTGCTTCAGAGTTACTGTAGGCCTCTTGGTGGCCTCGCTGACCAGTTTCCTCCTGCTCTTTCATCCAGTTTGGAGCGACGTCCTGAATCTGGGAGGGTCTGTGTTGTACCAAATACCTTCCACTTCTTAATAATACTTCACTGTGCTTCTAGACATTGATAAAGCTTTTGACATTTTTTTTGTATCCATCTCCTGACTTGTGCCTGTCCACAACTTTATCCTGGAGATCTTTTGATACTGCTTGCCACCCATAGTTGATTGTTTGCTTCAGTTGCACTACCAAGGACTGAAATGCTCCAGGAAAGCTCTTTTCATGCTGAGCTAATCAAAATGACCACAGCTGATCATCACAGTTGGAAGTCAAATGGCTTTGTGGGCCATTGAGAAGGTTATTTTCTGCACCTGATTGAGTTTATTCATTTTTAGGTGGGGGTGATGCTTTTTCCACCTCAGTGATTCTGTATTTTTTTTGTTTTTTTGTTTGGTCTGACATGTTGGTGTTATATCTTTCACTTAAATGTTATAATTTGCACAGAGTAAAACAAAACTTGCGTTGGATAAAACAAAAACTGTGTCCGTCTTCAGTTCAGGCTGCAAAGCAACAAAATGTGATTATTTTAAAGGGGGTGATTCTTTTCTATACCCACTGTATTTGAAATAAATGTATTTAATGTCACATTTGATCAATGTAATGCATCCTTTCTGAATACAATTATTAATTTGATTTAAAAAAATTATACTGACCTCAAACTTTATGATCAGAAGTGTTATAAAATTATATAGTGATAAAAAAATCCTCACAAAGCAAACTTTGCTTATACTACCCAAAGGGTGCAAGTGTTTTTTTTTTTAATGCTTTTTAATTTAATGTGTGAATGTGCACAGTTCTTGCTGGTGATCACTAGATTTCCCGGGGCTTACTTGGTTTTGCAGTATGCCACTACACACACGATGCCAACCACCAGCAGTGCCACGCAGATGCCCGTTATCGTCAGCACACGTTTTTGGTACAATTCCTCAGCCTCTGAATGAACGAGAGCCATGGACAAGCACACACATATACACAGACGTACACACAGAGACAAACACACAGGTACACGACATTGAACACAAAGACACACATACATACAAAACACACAACCACTGCATCAGTGGCAGCCTATAAACCATGTCAAACTATCTCATTCAGCCTAAAACACTTTCCAACGTCAGTCTACATTTCATGTTATAGTTACAGTCATATTTATATGGTATAGTAACAGTCATATTTATCACTTCTAAACAGATTTATTTAGTCATAGGGACAGTACACCCAAAAATGAATATTCTGTCATTATTTACTAACCCACATGTTGCTGCAAACCTGAATGATTTTATTTCTTCTGTGGAATGAAAAAGGAGATGTTTAAAGCTCAAAGTCCAAGCTATAAGTTCCATATAATGAAAATGAATGGAGCCTGGGACCGTCAAGCAAGATTTCCAGTGAATAATAATATCTGAAGTTATCATTTGACATCAGGCGACTTGGAAAATAGTGCTCAAGACATATGAACGACTTTTATGATGGTTTCCTGGTGCTTTTTTGCCCTTTTTAGAACTTGACAGCCCCGGTCCACATTCAATTCCACTGTATGGAAGAAAGCAGCTTGGACCCCAGTATACAAATGTAACATATGTACATATATTAAACTTACATATATGAAATATATTGTAATATGATGAGTAAATATAAAACATAGACATGCATTTAATAAAATAAAAACAAAGAGATTTTTTTTTGCATATATGTTGTTTAAATAAAGTTGCATTAATAAATAAAATGTACTATTGACATATATGGTTGCTACATATAATACCATCATATAGTATTAACATATGTATACAAATTTCACCAAGGGGATATTATATATGTTATAAATTTATATCTCCATCTACCCAAAGAGTGTATGTATGTGAAAATTATGCATCACCTTATAGGTAACATACAGTATATGGCAATATCATAATATCATATATCTTGATATAGGGCAATATATGTCATATATTCATTTCCATAGGACATTCTGCCAAACATCTCATTTTGTGTTCCACAGAAAGAAAGAAAGAAATCAAACATGTTTAGAATGACATGAGGGTGAGTAAATGATGACAGGATTGTCATTTTTTGGGTGAATTCTCGCTTTAAATCTAAAAACTTTATTTTTAATGGGCACTGAGGTGCATAAGAGGTCATTCTAAAAACACATTTCAGATGACTGATATCAGGTGCTCGGCAGCATGGGAAGGGCACAGCTGTGGTGCTTTCTCTGTCTGCCAGGGTTTCACATAAAGCGCATTATCCTGAAACAGTGGGAGAACTTTTGGCTACCTTCAGGACTGAAACTGTCCTGTGCAACACTGGAAACTTGCATTTTTTGGCTAGAAGTGTTAATAAAATGAAATCTCCGCCCCTCTAAAAGCCCATTACATGCATTATTCTATATATAAAATCCTATGACGTCTGAAGACAGAGCAGTTTGAGCTTGTAAGTCTTGCGTAAAGCATGCCTGTAAAATAGAGTTAAAAGACAAACTGCATTATAAGAGCTCTTTGGAGAGGGTTGTTCATAAAAACTAAATGTGTTTTAAAACCAACATGAAATCAAAACTAACCCATTTGCTTTCTTAATGCACATTCCTGGTCTTATTGCGAATGATTCATCAGTGTGCATTATTGTGAAGTAACAAATGTTTATATATATATATATATAATTATTTCAATAAAACTTTTCAAGTTCACATTTATTTTATTTTTATCTATATATTTAATGAACATACTTTAAATGTTTTTAATTTCACACACACACACACACACACACACACACAATGTATTTAAATAAACATATTTATTTTAAATTATTTAATTAAAAATCTTTTCAAGTTCACATTTAATTTCTTGTTTCACTCTGAAATATCTGAGTACAAATTAAAAAGGTTTAACGCCATTTCACGTTGACTTTAAAACTGATTGGAGGGTTTGGCAAACAGCAAACCAAGGCTTTGATGAGCAGGTTTTATGAAGACCATCTATACAGATGACTTGAACAAATATTTTTATATCTGGGTCTGATTTTTGAAAACGAGAATATTCTAAACATCCTCTGGGGTGCTGAACGTTGGCAGCAACAGAGGAAGCATACAGAACATGAAGGGAGGGAACGAAAAAACGGACGGGAGGAAGGAGAGAAGAGAATTGAGGGCCAAACAGTAGGGGGATGAGTGTGTAATAAAAGAGAAACGCAGGGGGGAGGGAGGGGGGCGGTTGAGTCAGACACTGATATTGCATTGCATGCTTGTTACAGGAAACAGAGATCAGAGTACACAAAGAGAGAGAGAAAACAGAGAGATGTACCCAGACCAATGGTTAATGTACTCTAGTGGTGCAGACAAGAAGACAGGAGAAGAGATGGGCAACACTCATTTTACCCCTCACTCGGCTTCCTGACACGTTATGCAAATAAAAGTTTTTTTTAATGCACTGCAAAACAAATTGGTTCTTAATCAGTATATTTGTGTTGATTTCCAGGAAAAAATAGCTTACAAAAAAAAAAATATATATATACTGTATATATCCTTAAAACAAGATAAATGTACTTAAGAAATAAAATTACATTATTTTTTAAAATATTTTTTTAATGTTTTGGAAAAAATTATCTGATATGCTCCCTAATTCTCTCTAATGCTTTTATTATTATTGAATTTTATCCTGAATTTTTTTTGTATATTATATCATTGATAGGAACAGTTATTATTATAACAGTACATTATATGAACAGTTATTAACAATTGATAATAATAGAGCAGCAAATCATCATATATTAGAATAATTTCTGAAGGATCATGTGACACTGAAGACTGGAGTAACACAGCATTGCATCACAAAATTACATTTTAAAATATATTCAAATAAAAAAGTTACTTTAAATTATAATATTTCACAATATCAGTGTTTTAACTTTTTGATCAAATAAATGCAGCCTATATATAAATTATTTCATCCAATTATTATTTCCCTTAAAAATAGTAATCGTCAAATGAGACAAATTATTGTAAATTCATTCAAGATATATTCTCTAAAAAGAGAAGCGGCCTTATTATCCTATGCATAATTTATCTTCTCAAGTATTTTCTTTGAAATTCATTTTGATTTATGTTTGGATATTTTACTGGAAAACATGTCAAAAACACTGGTTAATTAATTTTTTGCAGTGTGAAAAATTACAAACTATTCTAGACATCTTATTTCACTAACAAGTTCATATAATGTGTTTAATTTAGAATTTTTTTTACAGCAACAAGCCACGGGAGGCTGTAGTAAAATCACTGTCACGCCTCGCCTTGAGTGGCTCATCGCTTTTATGTGTTTTGATAAAAAGCACATTTTGAATTGCTACATGAATTTGCTCATTTCTAATAATATCACAACTTGGCATATGATTATACAATTCAAATGATATACATTTACATAAATAAAAATATACATTTTATACTATAAATATTGATCTACCTGCCTGATGTGTTTCATTCCTACATTCCTACATTCCTAAAAATGAGTGTCGCTTTGTCAGAGCTGAAAAAGGAAATCAGAAGCTAGGAATGTATTTGCTTGTTCAAATATAGGACAGAGAAAATAGAACAAGACGAGTCCTTATGTGAATATGCTTAAACTATGTCATCAAATTATGTCATGAACCTTAAAAACTAAAGAATCAAACAAATAATAACTTCATACCCATGATTTCAATTCCAAGATGCTCTGCCAATGCAGAAAGTTGACAATGTAAAAAAACAAAAAAGAAAAAAAAAAGAAAACAGATTTCAGGTAAAAATGTCCACTTGTTCAGATAGAGGCGGTTCACTAGAATGCGATCAGTTGTTTGGTTGGTTTTGTTTGAGACATTGAGGTGGGTGACTGTACGTTCCAGTAACAGACAGACAATGCAGACACACACTGGCCAACGCCATATTCCCCATAAGACAGAAACGAAACCAACAAAAATACCAACAAACAAACAAACAACACGCCTTTCTTGTTCATCGCATGTAAGCAAGCATACAAAAATGCATGCAGACATAGACAGCCACACTTACGGCCATATTTACTAGACCTCATTTCTGGTTTAAGGTTAAGAAAAAAAGAAAAAGAAAAACAAAACCATTAAACAGAAAAGCACAATGTACAACACAAAAAGACTCAAGTACAGATGAATGTAGACAGACATCTAGTGATTTATATGCAAAACGACGATCAGATGGCTTTTGTTTAGTCACAATATTACATTTTCATGTATGTTTTTCAACTTCCACTACAAATGTGCAGATGCATAAACACATCTTGAGCTATGGCATGCATGATACTGGCAATACTGAGGGCTCCTCTAGTTAACTACCACTGTTTGGAAAGCAGCGGTTCTAGAGGTTAAAGGTTAGAGGTTAAGGGTCATGCATCATGCCTCAGGCTCAGCTGTTAAAGATCATACAAAACAACAGCATCAATTTTACTTAACAACCAGAGCTTGACAGAAATGGCAGACATTCCAGGTTCAGTGCAAGTTAAGATTTACCAACAGCATCTGTGAAAATGTTCTCATCATATAGTTAAAATGAGCAGAAATTACGCTTGCAGTAACGCACTTATGATGCTATTACGGAGGATTTGAAAGCAGAAATATGTGTGACCATATTGCTTTTGTCTGCATAACCACTGAACAGATTATATACAGTATATATATATATATAACACACATTTTTGTAAGCAAAACAATCTTCCACAATCTTCCATACAAAATGTATGGTACATAGGACACAAATATAAGATGTGTTTTTCCTGCTGTGTATCTTGGCGTTCATTGTTCAGCAGACAAACCAATAAAAATATACCATACCAAAAGAAAAAAATCTCTATATAGACAGTCCCTTTCCATCTTGTGTATTATGTGAAATCTACCAGGTTTAATAGTTTTACATTCACAGACCCATCAGTATGATTTAAAAAAAAAAGAAAAAAAAAAAAAAAGAAAAAAAAAATTAATACTTCAGTCTGTATCTGATAAATGTCAGATAAATGATACACTTGATGATATCAAATAATAAAGTGATACACTTTTGATAAATGTATCAAAAGTGACAGAAAAGGCAAATAAATGTTATTTTAATTAAAAACTCCTGAAGAAAATGTATCAGGATTTCCACAAAAATATTTCTTGATCAGCAAATCAGCATATTAGAATGATTTCTGAAATATCATGTGACTTTCAAATACATTAAAACATTTTACCGACCACAAACTTTTGAACCTGTAGTGTATATTGTCTTGTCTTGCTTTTTCACATCATAAGTGCGGTACTGTTCATGCATTTTTTGAGTTTATATATATTTTTTGTGGACACAAATGCCATCAATGAGCTTAACTTGTACTTAACCCAGAACAATCCTTTAAATGATAAACGAGTGCCTGTAAAACATGTCATGAATCTGTCTGATGGACTAATTATTCAATTTATTGTTGAATCTAACTCTGCTCTATGGGAACATAATCTATATGTTAGCATGCTTTATTATATCATTTGCACTATATTAAACTCTTCTCCACTTTTCTTTATCCTTTGGGAAAATCTCTTTTTAATAATATATATCAATGTACACTAAATCCGTTCACATCAATGAATTTCAACTTAATAAACCAATATAAAACCTTTGAATGGACAAACAGAGGCAGACACGTACATGCACACACACATCATAGCCAACATGCGCTTCAGAGCAGACAGACAGGAAGAAGAAATGGACATACTGTAGAAACCGGCCATAACGGAGGTTTGACAGCGTTCACCGGTATAGTCATTTGGACACCTGATGGAGGGAAACAAACCCGCAGAGGGAGAAGGGAGGAACGAGAGGGAAGGGGTATAGGAGAGAGAGACATGAGGAGGAAGAGAGAGAGAGTGAGAGAGAGAGAGAGACGAGAGCAGAGAAACATGCAGTTAGAACAACAGAGAACAACACCAGTGAGCTGTTCCACCTGATGACGTCATCGCTGTGATGGCACAGCCTGCAGCCATGCTGGACGATTTTGAACCTGAGGAAAGAGGGTCCATGTCATTTCATGCCATTTTTTAGGATGGGTCTAAAAAATTTTGTTTTAATGATATAGAACTGATTCATTAAAACAGTTCAATTGGATGCCAATTCCTCAAGGGGGCGCTTACCTACCTCAAAAACTCAGTCCTGCATTGTGCCACAATTAAATATTAAAATAGTTTTTTTATATATATATATATTTTTTTTTTTGTCTTTGTCTTGACATTTGTACATACAAAAATATGCTTATTTAAAGATTTTTTTAATTTATTAATTTACTTATTTTTAATTTGTTTTAAAATTATTTATTACATTTATATTTAATTAAAAAATGTAAATATTTATATTCGAAGTTGTAAATGAAAAAAAGACAATTATTTCAATCTTTCTATAAAATGTCATGTTTAATTCAAATATGTTACTTGCTGTTTCTTAGTAAAACTTACTTGCCATTTTTGAGTGAAAATTGTATCACCACCATTTTTTTTCCCAGTGTATGAATTTTGAAATCTTTTGAAAACTATTAAATATATAATTTATTGTTATCACAAATTACTGGTCAAAACAGTCCATTCCTTTCAAGTAATGCCTGGATGATAATGAGAGTTTAATAGCCATTGAATTCTCAGTAATATTATATTATGATAATAACATGTGATATGCACATTCATATTTCTATTTCTGGTACTCATTAGGTCTGTTCGTCTTCGTTTGGATTTAACCGTTCTGTGAGATTCGCCACTTACAGTCAGAGGAGGAGTTGAAAAAGGAGACATGAAGTCAGACACTTTCTGTTTCTCCTGCGTTTGCGTATTTTTTTCCACAGATGAAGTGGATTAGCTGCAATATTTGTCAAATACACAGATGTTTCAGACGTTTTCATGTAGCAACAGTTAAGGCACGTTCACACCAAGGACAATAAATATATGATAAAGATATAGTTTTAAAAATCATTGTGAATGTAAAAGAATAGTTCCCATCACAACTATAACGATAACAGCACAGAGGAATGATATTATTGGAATCACTTTTAAAGAGATTTTTTCCAACTGATGAATGACAAAAACAATGACAGCCAATCAGAATCCATCCTGCTTTAAAGATCTCCAGCATTTAAAGCATCAGAAAACAAAAATGCAGTGTGTACTTATAATAAACAGAAAATTATTGTGCATTGTTGTTCATGCTTATCATTAAAGCATATCTTTATAGTTATTGTTCTTGGTCAACATAAGCCTATACTATTTAAATAAAGTGGGATCTATATTTTTTATAAGTTTTATTTTTATAAACATGACGGAATGCCGATCGGTCTGTGCAGCGGTGCATGAAGTCAGACACACCTATTGCTCTTCCTGTGTATCCTGCATCATGCAATCCTGACCTGACCAATGTGTAAAAAAAAATTACAAGCAGATTAAAAGTCATTGCAAAATAGGGCTTGGAAAATTGAAATTAGTTAATACTTGACAAATGTCAAGAATCATTTGTTTGCAGATGCCACTTGATTTGCTTGACTACTTAGTGATCTAATGTAATAAAATTCATGCATTTTTAAATGGGTCATCGGATGCCCATTTTCCACAAGTTGATATGATTCTTTAGGGTCTTAATGAAAAGTCTGTAACATAGTTTGGTTAAAATTTCTCAATGGTAGTGTAAAAAACACCTGTCAAAAACAGCTCTTTTCAGAGCAAACTGTTTTGTAGCATTTTCCTTTAAATGTTAATGAGCTCTGCTGACCCCGCCTTTCTCTTCCGAGCTGCACTCAGAGAGACTGTTTACTTTAGCTGCATTCATCATGAAACTTGCTAATTAGCACATTATTAGGAAAGGCGATTTGCAAAGATTCGTTAAAAAATCCTTACACTCACTTCTTCTGTAGGTGAAGCTGGATCACAAATGATTCGCGCGAACATAGACACATTTAGGTAGATCAGGGGGCTCATTCCCTTCAAAAACAAATATAATCCACTTCAGCGGCTCAGATGTCAGGAGTAAATGACGACTGATTTGTTCATTATTACATCCAACAACAGAACACCTCAATTGCTTATTAGGAGTCATTCTTGTCTACATCTGCTCCGGCGGTGAAACAATGGCGGACTGATGACAGCTCACTCAGGGCGGGTCAATCAAACTATCGTGGACGGGGCCTGTTTTTGTGACGTCACACAGACAGGCATCTGAGATCTGCTCGATTTGAGAAAGGGGTAAATATTTTAGTAGATTTAAAAAAAAAACACTGGGTGGATTTTTATAATTTTAGGGTGGTTGTGTACACACACTGCCAACACACATTTCAGTTCAAACAACTTGTAAAAGTGCATGTAGCATCCGATGACCCCTTTAAGCATGCCATAGGTGTCCAAATACTCTATGGGGCCACTGTAGATCAAACATAATCAAACCTAATCTGAAGCTTTACATCTTTGCTTCCTCATAAAATGCCAATCAGTTCCACTTCTGTGATTGTCTATAAGATCTCACATTAATGAGGAGAAAATCCTAGGACAAACAGGAGCAAAATGAAGTCCCTAAAAGCTTCATAATGGTGCCAAAAGCTTCGTCTAGCCACAGGTTTTCATTATTTATATACTGAGGGTATTTTAGAGTTCAGTTCTACTGGGGAATTCACCGTTCAGTCAATTTACTGCAGAGGTCATTGGGACAGGCTGCATTTCATTTGCCTCAAGAGCTACAGTAACACACACAAACACACACACTGAGATGACATGTTAACGTAATGCCTCTGAAATAGAGCTGGGAAGTATGACAAATATACTGTAAAAAAGTGCCAACCGGTAGAGATTTTGATAAACGTTTTATACTGTGGTCGATATATTTGCGCTAAATTTGTTAATGAAAACATTCCTTGTTTAAGAAATTTTTTTTTATGTGGGAAAATTTACTTTTTGACTTCACTGATTATCTAAAGAAAGGTAAAAACATTTAAACACTTAATCTTATTATAATTCTGCCCAGATTTCGTATTCATAAATGGCAATTTACTAATAAAAAAATCCAACTTTATAAAATATCAATACCAGGTTATATTAAAATTTATATATTAACAGTATGTATATTAACAGTATTAATAAAGAAAATTTACTGCAGAGGTCATTGGGACAGGCTGCATTTCATTTGCCTCAAGAGCTACAGTAACACACACACACAAACACACACACTGAGATGACATGTTAACGTAATGCCTCTGAAATAGAGCTGGGAAGTATGACAAATATACTGTAAAAAAGTGCCAACCGGTAGAGATTTTGATAAACGTTTTATACTGTGGTCGATATATTTGCGCTAAATTTGTTAATGAAAACATTCCTTGTTTAAGAAATTTTTTTTTATGTGGGAAAATTTACTTTTTGACTTCACTGATTATCTAAAGAAAGGTAAAAACATTTAAACACTTAATCTTATTATAATTCTGCCCAGATTTCGTATTCATAAATGGCAATTTACTAATAAAAAAATCCAACTTTATAAAATATCAATACCAGGTTATATTAAAATTTATATATTAACAGTATGTATATTAACAGTATTAATAAAGAGAGAGAGACTTTAAATATTTAACTGCTTTAAAAATCCTTTAAACTAAATATAGACTAAGTAATTTCTTTTGTACTTTATTTTGTTTTTTATATCACAAATGCCACAGATTTGTTTCCTTTCTTTTATTTTTATGATGTTTAATGTTTATATTTTATGCATATATAATTCAAATATTCAATATATTTAACGTAAATATAAAAATATATAAAACATACAATATATATATATATATATATTCAAATGAGATGAAATATGATTCATTAGTAAAGTATTTAATTTCCTGAATTTCCACCATGATATACTGTTACCAAGATATAAAACATCTTATACTGTGATAAAAGATTCTGGTCATACCGCCCACCTGTACTGTGAAGTAAAGCTTCAGTGCTGTTGAAGATAAACTTTCAGGCATGTAAGTGAATCACTGTGTCAAGAAAGCCAAGAGCAACACACACTATTTCCAAATCAGTCCGTGCTTCCCTGAGGGCTATAAACCCTTATAGCCACTTCAGATGCTCTGTTCTGTAAATTAAAGAGATTGACTCGACGAGTCAGTTAAAGGATGACATCTCCCCAAAGGGTTTGAGCTTTAAACAGCTTTAATGGGTTTGTTTCTCTTCCTTTAAAAAATTGGCGCATACGCCGTAAATCTGCACTGCCCTGTCCGAAATGGCTGATAAGAACAGAGCATTGTGTCCATGGTATCACAGGGGAGCAGTAACTCAGCATACTATTGATAACACGGCTGTATACATCCACAGAGCTGACAGATGACACGGCAAACCCTGTCCCCTTCCTCCAGGCCCTCAGACACACTGTCATTTCCCTGGCTCTCTCTAGACCAGGAGTATTCAATTAAAGCTCCCCGAGTAGCTAAATTTCTTTCTCAACAAAGGCCCAACAATAATAAAAGTATACCTTTTCATGACCCAAGTAGCGCTGGGTGCCATTTAGAAATGAATGGAATTTCTTTTAAATTCCAAGATTAGAATTGAAGCAGAAAATAGAATGCAGAACTGCATTCTGAATTTGAATTTAAAGGAAGTAAAATGAAAACAGAAAATTCTTATAAATTCACATAACTGCTTTAATTGTAATAATATATCTTATTTATCTGCAAGGATTACCCATAAACATTTTATGATACACACAACCACAGGAGGTGGTAACTGATTTGCTCTGATGCAGTTTTCTGTAATAAAGCTAAAATAAAACAAAATATAAATATTATATGAAAGTCCTAAACTTAAAAGAAACTCAGAAATGTTGCTATGGCAAATAATTTAAATAACTAAGTTTAAAATTAAGTACTACAATGACTAAACCTGAAATAAAATAAGTTAAAGCTATGCTAAAAATGAATAAAATGATAAAAGCTCATAACACTAAAATTTTAATGAAAACTGAAAATATAAAAAGAGAGCTAATTCAAAATATTAATAAGTACTATAATAGTATATAAATACTAAAATAGCACTGCATTGATTTTGATTTTTGTTTCAGTATTTTAAATAGTATTAATCTGAATTATCTAGCTTTGACAGCCCTATTTGAAGTCTGTTGATGTCAAACCAATGTGTAGTAAAAATAAGCCGCATAAACAAAGACATTAATGTAAAGTTAAGGGATTGTCATAGTGAGGTAAGATAAAAATGAATGCGTTCCGAATATGTGTAACTTACTTGCAGGACAGCTGATTTATACCATGTATGAAATAACAGTCTCCACCGTTAACGCAGTATGTCTTCTCAGTTTCATTGCACTTCCTGGCATGACTTGAGCCCGGAGACAATGTAGTGGTTACTATAGAAACATACAGACACACACAGCACACAGAAAGTCAGAGATGAGCATCATACATTAGTGGCATTGTGAGAAATGTCTCAGTGACTGTGTTTAGAATGCTAGTATACTAGTATACGGCACAGTACACTCTAAGGAAAAAAGGTACAAAGCCATCAGTGGGGTGTTACCCTAAGGTACAAAAGCTAAAAGGTACATCTTTTTACCTTATTTACCCCTAAATGGTATGTATTACTACCTTAAAGGTACACACAAGTACTTTAAAAACACATATTAGTACCTTAAAGTCCCCATGAAATCAAAATGAAAGTTTTTTGGGTGTTAGTATCAATATGTTAGTCTTAAGGTTGTCTATAAGGCAGTGTGCTCCAAAACAGTGACACAATTCGCATTTAGAAGATATAAGCATTCAAAGCTTGCAGTTCGTCACTTCCAACTAATTTTTTTGACGTCACATTGTACTTCAGCTTCTCATCAAACTTTCTGTCCAATCAAATGCTCTCTAGAATCCGAAGCGCGCCAAATACACATGGCAGATGGGAGGATGTTCTCGCAGGCATCGCTGGCTCACAGCCACACCGAGGGTTCAGATTTTCTTTAGTGTGTCAGAGTCACGCAGAATCAAGCTGTGTACTGCAAACACCAGCATATCACATCTGGATCTCTGCAGCCAGAGACACGGGGAATCCGTGATTCAAACGTCTGCCCGGACAAAGAGCCAGACGAAGATAGTCAGAAAGAAACCGTCAAGAGTGACAGATATAAAGAGAGAGAGGGAGAACACTAGCACGCTGCACAGCAATGCTATCTTTAAAAACAGTATGTGAAGCTGCCTGCAGTATGCAATAAATATTTCTAACAATAAGGTATAATGTCACATTACAGCACTTAGATGGTTCATTCTGGCTTTCAGGCCAACCCTCAGGCCATGCAAGATGCAGATGAGTTTGTTTCTTCATCAGAACAGATTTGGAGAAATTTAGCATTACATCACTTGATCACCAGTGGATCCTCTGCAGTGAATGGGTGCCATCAGAATGAGAGTCCAAACAGCTGATAAAAACATCACAACAATCCTCAAGTAATCCACACAAATCCAGTCCATCAATTAACGTCTTGTGAAGTGAAAAGGTGTGTGAAACAAATCCATCATTAAGGCATTTTAACTTTAAACTGCTGCTTCTGGCCACAATACATAATCTATATCCAATGTGTCCTTAAGTGAAAGTCCATCCTGTTGTTCCTCTCACTTCAAACATAACTGTATAGAACTGTTTTGGGCTGTTTTTGCTTGTAAACGGTGCTTGATATATCTCTAGATTCGGACGGCAATTATATTACCACACAACTTTGGTGTTTGTCAAAAAACAGTAGGTAATTCGGCCGGGGATTTTTACGGGGGTGGTGAGAGAAAAACACCGACATCCTGGATTCAGACGGCATTAAAATCACCAGCTACCCCCTGTAAATGGTGAAAATCACTTACGTCCCCCTGAGAAACAATTACCATCCGAATAGGGCTTAATACAATATATGGATGTAATTATGAGACGTAACTAGTGTCAGGTATAAAGCATGGAGTGATCTACTGGATAGTCCACCATCTGAGCCCTGCCATTTCTAATTAACTAATTAACATGCACACACAAACACACAGCACTGCAAAGAGAGAGAGAGAGAGAGAGAGAGAGAGAGAACAGAGGGGCATAAAGCGAGAAGGAGATATGTCTCAGAGCACAACAGCCGTGTCTCTAAAGGTCACACATCACTCCAACAGGAAATGGACTGGAGCAGAACGATATAACATTCAACCTTACATCTGTCTCAAGCATATGTCCTCTTCTCTGCAGTGACAGCATGTGTGCAATCGAGCTGCTATGTTGCTAGCCTGTAACTGTTTCCTTTGAGAGACACACAGTGGTCAATCCCCCTTTGCACCACAGTCAATTCTGAGGACAATGTTTGTAATATTGGAGATATTTGTAGGCTAGAAATAAATGTAGCTTAAATCTATTAATTCTAAGCATTGGGGGAATACACATAATATGTCAATTTAAATCCACATTTAGAATCTATAATAATGCAATCAGATTCAGCAATCACAAACAGCAACTGATCCTGACTAAAAAAAAACATTAATAGCCATTGGACTGAATGTACACAGTGAAGTGTTACAACAAGAGAAAGAGATTTGTACATTTCAGTAGTGTCAGACTCTGTTTCGTGTCTGTGTGTTTCCTTCTCCCACGTGCTCCATGTTATGTTTATTTCCTTATTTGGTCTTCCTGTTCCTGTCCTGATTGTGTTATCATTTGTTCCAGGTGTTCCCCACTCTGTTCCATTGTTCCCAGGTGTGTCCCATTAGTTTCAGTGTATTTAAAGTGTTTTCTGCCCCTCGTTTCCCGTCCAGTATTGAACGTTGATCCCCGTGTCCTATGTGTATTTTTCTCTGTGTTAAATAAAGTCTGTGATACTCCTTCGTCTCCTTGCTCCTTCACAATAGGCACACCGTGACAAGCAGAGGTAAATGGCACTTGCCTGTTCCAGCCAGGCTTGTGTGCCACTCAATTGAATTAAAAATGTTTTAAAATTCCAGTTCAATCCCATTTCAGTTGGATTGAATTGAGAAAGCAAAAGGGATGCAGAACTGCAATGTGAATTTGAGTAGATAAAGAATTAAAATTATTTGAAATTCATACTACAATAAAAAAATATATAAAAATGTTTTGTTAGACAGACAGATAGACAGATGATATTTCAGTTTTTCTGTTTTAATAAATCTGCAAAAATGTCAAAAATTCTGTGTTTTTCTGTCAATATGGGGTGCTGTGTGTACATTAATGAGGAAAAAAAATAACTTAAATGATTTTAGCAAATGGCTGCAATATAACAAAGTGTGAAAAATTTAAGGGGGTCTGAATACTTTCCGTACCCACTGTAGATGACATGCAGACAAGACATGAAAATATATTAACATGTCAATTGGCAAAAATCAACATGCACCTTTGTTTTCTAATCGATTTTTTTTGGACAGTCCCATGTTTTCTGCAGTGTGTGTGACCGTGTGTGTTTGTGGACCATAACAGCGTATGTCTTCCTCCACAGGGGGGAGATGGTGAGTTTATCCAATCATGACTGAAAGACAATAATGTTGATCAGGTGCTGCACTGGCAATGCATCTGCTCTCTGCTTTAAATAGATTCAGAGAGCGGCTTTTAAAGACTGCACATATTTCCCTCCTTCCCGTAGTCCATCCTGGTGTGGCAGGATATTAGCTCCATTAGCCTTGGCTCTGAGCCGATGGATGGATGCGGACAGGCAGGAGAACATGATTCATGCCCCAGCGAGGGGGGTCACGGGGAAGGCCGTAAGTCACACAGGGGGCCTGTACGGGGTATCTGATCCACTCTACTCAACCAGGTGCCGATCAATGACATCGAACCACTTATAGGCACTCCCCATTCACAGACATGTCCACCACAAGAGTAATCACATGCAGAAACACGGACCTGCACACGCTGCAAAAATGCATGTGGTGGGAGGAGGTGGAGGGGAGCAGGATGGATGGAGAGACAGGCTAATGAACAGCAGAGTGAATAGAAGCAGGATAGAGGAATGGGGGATTTGAAGGAGACAGATTATCAGGAAGGAGAGCCACTGACGGGAAAGAGAGAGAAAAAGGGGGGTTAAAAAAGATGGTATGTTTGTACAAAGCATTTCTGAAAGGAAGTGCTATGCAGTGTGTATACTGTGCATTTGCATATACGAATGTTTTGAATGCATGAAATACACACATCTGCATTTACATTCATTGATTCAGCATATGGTTTAATACAATGCAACTTCCAAAATGAGGAAATTATCATAAAGGAGACTCGACTTGATCTTCCTTTCCAGCGTTTTTGAATTAAATTAAACAGCTTTTTTCCCCTTCATTATTTATAGTATAGTTATACTTCTTCATTATTTGTTATAGTTACACTAAATTGCAACAAAAACTGCAAATTAGACATATTTTATTCCCAAGATGGTAAATGGATGCTACTCACTGAATTAAAGGTTAAGTTCACCAAGGTTTAACCAGCTTTGTATTGTTACAGTATAAGTAAATGAATAATGTGTATTATTTTTTGTAAAACGCATCATCCGGTGGACCCCTAAAACCCCATCTTGCCAGTGGTGAATAACCCCTTTAAACATGTGCACTGAAGTCATGTGACAATGTAGCATTCACTTTGCACTATTTAACATTGTGCATAGCATGTGTATAGCATCTATTTTACAAACTATTTGTATACAGTACATACTGTGCAGTGAACACAGGCAGAAGTTGACAGACGCTGGGCAGGGGTGGATGACAGAGCAGCGTGTGCAGGAGTGTGTTTTATGTCTGCGTTTGCGTCAGACTCATTAAGCAGAAGGCAGCAGAGCTGAGCTCTGGACGGTGGACTCATTCCTCATTTATCTCAACAGTAACATTGGATCCAGAATCATCAATTTAACATGACCTGTGTCCATGTGCCTTTGTGAGATGCACTCATTCATACAAATATGTGTAGCAGCATTTTATTTCCATTATATATTTTTCTGAGTTAAATAAAATATTCACTGCAGAATAATTTTGTCCGGCTCTTCTATTGAGATTTGATTGGATAGTGACTGTTAGGCTGTAATATTGTTAGTTTATATTGCTCTCAGACTGTCTATTATTTCAGAGACAGAAGAAGTGATTGTATTGTGATAAGATTATGATTAAGATCATAATCAAAACAAGCATTTTAACTCGGAATTTAATTTAATAAAAAAAATGTTAAGTCTATGGAGTGGACAAAATGATCAGTGAACAACAATTTAAGTTTGTGCACACAAATCAAAAGACTTGGAATATAGCATATGACCCATATGGACCATTTATAGCAGCATGAACATTCTGCCTCACACCTCCAAATGTGTTCCTCAGAAGAAACAACATGAGGGTGAGTAAATAATGACAGAACTTT